GCTTTCCATTGATGTGTGGTTTGTTAGGATAGGACAATATTTGGTCAGATACAATTATTTGAAAATCTGGAATCTGAGGGTGCAAAAAAATCTAAATATTGAGAAAATCGCCTTTAAAGTTCTTAGCAATGCATATTACTAATCAAAAATTAAGTTTTGATATATTTACAGTAGGAAATTTACAAAATATCTTCATGGAACATGATCTTTACTTAATATCCTAATGATTTTTGGCATAAAAGAAAAACCAATAATTTTGATGTTAATAATTTTTGGCTATTGCTACAAATATACCCCAGCGACTTAAGACTGGTTTTGTGGTCCAGGGTCACATATATAACAGTATATTGCTTGTATATTGCCTCTTGTGGTCAGCTGAATGTTTTTCCTTCATTTGTCATTTTCTTAAAAAGCTAACACATATACTGTATATACTACCATTCAAAAATTCAGTCAGTAAGATTTTTAGTAACACTTTAATTTTTTTAACTGTTATTAAAGGCTATAATGCATTATAATTATTCATGTGTGTTGTAATACATTATATCTTGTCATAAATAATTAAAACCAAATTTAAAATGCATAGTGTAACAATTAATTGATAAGTGTTATAATGTATCAGCTGTGGTTACAATTATATGTGAGAGTGTACAATGCATTATAAAGTGCATTACAAGGCATAATTAATGCATTAAAACTAGTTTTATGATGCATTATACATAAAGGCTTTAAGTAAAGTGTTATCAGATTTTTTTTAAAGCACAACTGTTTTCATCATTGATAATAAAAATCAGCATCAGCATATTAGAATGACTAGAAAAGCTTTGTCTGCATCCAAAGATACCATTTCTTGGTTCAGCAAATTTTGCAATTATTTCGAACTAGAAAGGGGTTTACCGCTCTTTAGTTAAGGCCCAATCCCAATTCTATTTTATACCCCTTCCCCTACCCCTTCCCCTTGTCCCTTGAAACAGAGTGTCAAGGGGTAGGGGTGAAAATATTCCCCTAAGAATTGGGACACCACTACTATGCTGTCACACGTCATCATACGTCGTCTAGCTCCTACAATACACACACCTATGCTGGTGAGCATGAGAGCCTTTAATTATTGTTCTATATTAATGCGCTGCTTACTGACACACACACACACACACACACCCACACACACACATATCAGAGATCACGCAGCTCACACATCCAGGAGCAAAGATACTTGTCAACGCTGCCCCACGACTTTTATTAATAACAGTTTAAATACTGAATCGCTACATTATATTTTCCAGAAACAAGAGGATAAAATCGATGTTTTTGAAGTAAACTCACTCTAAAAAGAGAAACGCACAGACGCGCATACACGCAACTTTCATCTCTCTCTCTCTCTGTCTCTCTCTCTCGCTCTCCAATTGGCAATATTTGAGAAAAGGGTTTAGCGATTTATAATTATTGGGGGGACTAGCCCCCCTCAATGTCTATGGTGGTTATCGCCCTGATCAGACATGAAAATATGTTGTGGCACTATCGTGCAGTCTGTAATGATATGACGTTAGGAAATTTTTGTGATTTTTTGCAAACATTTCTGTGAGTAAATATGAACTCACAATTGAAAGTAACATAAAACAAATGATTACTTTTCGTTAAAATCTTTATTAATGCTAAAAATGCTTACATTTATGTGTTTTTGTTCGCTATGGCAGCCATGTTGCCGCTGAAGCCGGTTTACGCTGAGATAATTCATACTCCTTCGTTTGAAGTGTGGTCCCGAAAAATTTTCGTTTGAAGGGCTATCTGGCCCTTCCCCTACCCCTCCAACCAAAAGAGAATCGAGACACCCCTACCCCTTCACGTGAACGCGCGAAACGGAGGGGTAGGGGAAAGGGGAAGGGCTAAGGTGTAGAATTGGGATTGGGCCTTAGTATCCTTTCTTACCTTGCTGCTTAATTTTACATTTTCCCCCCAGATGTTTCACAAATTACTGAGTTTTTTGTTGTTGTTGATGAATTAGAAATGTTCGATGAATTAGAATTTGTTTTTCTTTTAAAGCTTTTAAAACGGAAGCTAGTTTTTTCTAAATAGGTTTCCCTCAGAATATCTTTTAACACTTTGTCTTCTATTGGTTGGACAGATAGTCCTGCCCCCATCTAATGGCATTACTTGAGCCAATCTCGCTGTTTCAGGCTGATTAAATGGCTACAAATGGCTTAGTTATAGTTGGCATATGCTGGTATACAAGAAAAATTACAC